GACGCGTTGTCGACAAATGTGGGATCATTTCGAAAGACAACAAAGTGATTGGAGTCTCCCAAAATGGGGTCTTTGACTTTGTCTCGCAACAAATGGATGGGAACGTCTTCTTTGTTTATAATAGCACTGCGTTTGTGAGTAAAGGTGGTGAGGTCCATGTGTGTGATTTGATGCAAAATCGAGTTACAGATGTGTTTAAATGTGCTGATATTTTGAAAGGGAGATATGACGAGAAGATTTTAGTTGTCGAGGTGCTCAATGGCATTTTAGTTTGTTATATTTTAATGGTACAATCATAACTCATTCTATGCTCTCATATTTAATATCTCATTATTTAGGTCTTCTCAAAGAGAGATTTAGTGAAAAAAATTGACTGGAAAACAGAAGGCGGTCTAAAAACGATTAAACCAGTTGCACTGGGGACGACTCATGTGTGTACACCTGCAGTCGAACAAAGTGCTGTCAAAACATCAGAGTTGTCAACTAAAAATCTCGAGATTCCTGTTGTCGGAACAAAACGCACAGTTGAGGAGAAAATTCCAATTGAAAAACGCGTGGTGGTGGACGTTCCCCCAAAGATCGATGAAATCAAAGTCGAACCAAAACTCGACATGGAGTTGAAAAGCGAAATCACATGGATGTGCACTGTTGAAGGTGGCGACTACTTGTTGCTTCAGTCTTTCAAGACGTTCTTCGCCTATAAGCGCGTCAACGGAAAGTACGTCATTCACTTCACTCACCCCCCGAAGAAAATTGACTTCAGTCGGGAGAATGTCAATTACTCGGACATCACCGGACGAATCACCAGAAATGGAAGTTACGCTGTGTTTTCATTGGCGGATCGTTGTGAATTGTACAAATGCAAAGATTGCAAGAAACTCATTGCATTCTCGGCGATGACGGGTACCGTCAAGTCGTCCGTTGTGTCAATGTTCCCGAACGATTTTAATTTGATTTGTGTTGGTACAACAGACGGCGGAGTGTCAGTCTATCGCGCAGATAAGAACTTTTTGAACGTGAAAATACCGTCGAAGGTTGGAGGACCAGTTGCTAGTTTGCTCTTCTCACCAACAACAGCAAAGGACGCGGACAGTCCATTTTTTGTCATAAGCAGAAATGGGAGAATTACGAAGTTACAATACAACAAGAAGAGTGAGCCACAGAACACTATATCGATGATTGGGAATGAAGTCGATTTGAAAGTTGAAAATGTCAAAGATGCGTTTTTGTCAAGTAATGGGAAAATAATCTACATCGTTTATGAAAAGGGTATCAAGGAAGTTCAGTTGGATACCTCAAAGCAAAGGGTGATTGAGGTAAATAACATTGTTGCGGCATGTGTCAACAACAAAGGTGTCGTTGTTGTAGTGAACAGTGAGGGTGTGTTTAAAGTGCAAGAGAAGGATTTGAGTTTAATCCGAGTGAATATGCAAATGGACAAAGCAGACGTCACTTATGTTGTGGCAGACAAGGAAGGAAACTTTGTATTTTCCACGAAGACGGGCAAAGTGTTCACAACAACTATTAATTGATTGGCTTGGATGCTTTGTTATATTACTCTCAAACAACTTTGCTGCAAAGTTTGCAGTGTGATTTGCCGAGAAAAAGAGGGGTTGTTAAGATAATAAAGAAATGTTTGGGAAACAAGAAATGAATTTTTTTCTTTTCTTTTCTTTTTTCTTAGATGATTGGATTAATTAAAAAAATGTACTAAAGTATATAATAAAATATAATTATACAATAATAAATTTGTATAATTAAAAAAAATAACAATATTTTTTACTAAAAATTAATTAAATATATTAATATAATATATTATAATTAATAATTTAATTAAAAAGTAATTAAACAACATTTCGAAAAAACAGTTAAACAAATATAATTAGTTTTTTTATAAAATTTAATACACAAATTATTGAAATTCATTTAAAATACGAAATGTTTTACACATTACAAATCGTTCCGATATTTTCAATCTTGAATAAACAATTTTGTTTCATTTTAAAATACTTTAATTTATAATTATTTTGAATAATTTAAATACTTTCTTTATAATAATATATTTGTGAAAAGAAACAAAAAAATGAGACAATGTGCAAAGCAAAATAGGCAAATTGGTAAAATAGTTGATAAGAACAAGATGTAATAATTGTTGAAAAGAAAAATATCGTGGATTTTAAAATATAATGAAAACTCTGTGTAATATTGTTACTTGTTTTTTAAAGCCAATCACCCAATTAATTCCGTTAATTTTATCCAATGAATACAAAACCACTTTTTTCTTTATAAAGAGTTTGGTCGATTTTTCTATTAAATAAAAAGAACCATTAAAGAATAATTTAGTCTTATAACAGTTTAATTCAAGAAAATTCCATAATAATTGTCCAGAAATGATTGAGTAGTTTTTGAGGCCTTTAAAATAATAAATTTAACAGCACAACGTGTTGACCAATTAAATCAAAAAAAAAGTGAATAATATATACGATACTATAATAGTTTATTTTATTATTTAAATAGTATTAAATCAGTTCTTTTCATTGGAGCATTTTTTTTATTTTGGAATCCACCAACCAATTTTCTAATTAACACTTTGAAAATATAAATAATTTAATCTTTGTTTGCCCATCATATTAATGTAATTAATATATTATAATTAAATTAACCATATTTTATAATAATAATAAAACATAGAGGCAAATGTAAACATCATTTTTCAATTAATCAAAGAAATATAAAAGTGAACAGCAAAATGTGGAGTGATGTAATGTACCCTATTAAAAACAGTCTTGTTTTTTTTAACAAAAAAAAAAAAAGTTGAAATGCCGTGTAACAATTGTTTTTTATAAAAAAGCAACCGGTGATGCTAAATTTGTCAAGGAAAACAGAAAAGTCCACCCGAAAAATATCACATGACAAAAATGTTACGACCAAAACAAAACGCCAGTTCTTTCTCTTTTGTTTCTTTACAATTCTACTTCTTGTTATAAAAACTGTAAACCTTCATATTCAGTCGATGGGTAATGTCATTGCAAAGAAACACAGATTGGAGTCACACTTCCATTCGAAGGGGCATTTAAAGCATTTTAACAAACAGTCTCCTTCAGATGTCATTTCAGAGAATGAATGCTTAGACTGTAATCTTAATAGACTTCAAGTTGATATACAAAATTGGACTGGACTTACAAAGTCATCCATATTATATGACTCAAGACTCGACGGGCTCAATGGAAGAGTATTAAATTCAAAGGTCAGCTGCCATCAAAATGTCCTCTTTGTGTTCTCCACCAGACATGGAGTCTTTGGATGTTATCATGAAAGTGCTATCTCGCCATCTACTTCACAACCCAAGAAATCTTCGTCACAAAATTTCTTCCTCTTCTCGATGAACAAAAATTGCTCTTACAAGCTCAAAAAAGTCGGCCAGTCGGCCTCATTATCAATTTACCCCAAAAACTCGGATAATTTGATCATGACCGTGTTCAGTGCTTTTTGGATGAATTCAGAAGGCATCGTCCAGATCCACCCGTCTCTCAGAAAGGAGTTTGAGCTTCCTAATATCACAAATCCACTCTTCGGAGGAGCAGTCTCAAAGAAAACAAAGGTCGACTTTATGGTTGCTCTTCAACTTGAGTAAAGCAAAGTGTATTTACCGGAATAGAATTCTGTCGAGGTGTTTATATTAATTTATATTTAGCTTTTTTACTATTATGTTTATAGGTTGTTCTCTAGTTATTTATTGTTTGTATTTCCGATATAACAATTTATAATTTTTCGAAATGGATATATCAAAAGTGAAAAGATTGTCCCAAACATGATATTTTCAACTATAGTTTGTTTTGTAGTAATCAAATTATATATTATATAGTTTCAATATATATATTTTATTTTAAATGGAAACCCCGAATTGCAATGTAATTCTAATAATTTTAAATTAAAAATAAAATTATTATTTTTTAAATTATTAACTTTTCGTATTGAGTTTTTGAAAAGTCTTGTTAATTCAATAAAAGTTACATTATTTAAGAGAAAATCTATAAATAGAATTGAAAAGATGTTGTTCTTTATAATTATCATCACATAACAGTTAAGTTATTGAAAATTGTTCTTAAGCTTCTACTTTTGTATACCATTTTCATGTATGTTAAATGGCAATTGATAATTAATAGCAAACTCTTTCAAGTTGTCTTGAAATAATATAACAAATTTTGACTTGAGCAAGTGCAGTTTTTTGTATTTGCTTTTTTGATGAATTTTGTTTCACATCACCAGAGTCTTCGAAACATTGTAAAACTTGTATTAAAATTGTTGACAAACTTTTCACAACTTGTTATAGTTCTGAGAGTCAACCAACATTGTTATTTTACAACATCTTCAATTGTAAAATACAACAAATAAAGTTTTCTTTACAACATTCAAAATATTATATTTTAAACATTGAAATAAAACCAGTTTGACGATTGTATTATTATAATAAAAATAATATAATACAATATTTACACCAATAAAATCTTTGATAAATTATAACGTATGTTTTTTATTTATAATTTTTTTATTTTTAAATAAACAATTAATTACTAAAATATAATTATATATTTAATATTAAAATTAATAATTTATTATAATATTGATTGTAGTATACAAATGTTGTTAATTATATACTATATATATTAATAAATAAATACTACTATAAATCATTATATTTTATATAATTAACACTTACTGGGAAAAAAAAAATTTTATATCGATTAAAAAAAAATTTAATTTTAAGACGATTAATTTTTAGTAGGTAAAATAATAATTAAATTTAATTAAAAACGTAATAATATAATGATGGTTCTATCGCACTGTGACAAATAAATCCAGTTCAATAAATATTTTTTCAATACAACTTTTTACTATACTCTTCACCACATTTTTCTATTTTAAACAAATAAAAAAAAGACCACTCAAAAAGGTCAATGTCTTCTTTTTTGACTGCTATGTTATGTACGACATGTTCTGGTCTAGCGACCGCGATAGGAGGGATTATTGTAGCTTTCTTTGGGGAACCGGATTATAAGAAATTGGGGAAGATGTTATCCTTTTCAGCTGGTGTGATGATATACGTTTCTTTTGTTGATGTCTTGTATGGAGGTATTGCAACGAGTGGGTTCATTACTTCCAATTTATCCGTTTGTGGTTTCATTCAATAGTAGACTTCAATCACATCCAGTTCTTCATCGGAATGGCGATCTTCTTGGCTGCGATATCATACATCCCCGAACCAGACATGTCGAAGTTCTTTCCGAAGCCCAAAACAGACGACGCGGCCGAAGCAAAAGCGTTGAAAGAGAAAGAAAGTATTCTCCTCTTAGGTATAAAAACAGCGTTTTCTATTTGCCTTCACAATTTCCCGGAAGGAATAGCTGTCTATATGGCATGTTTGGATGGCATAGAAACGGGCATCCCTTTAATGTTGGTCATAGCCGGGCATAATATCCCAGAAGGTCTTGCTGTCGCCGCACCAGTCTACTCTTCCACTGGAAGTCGATGGGAAGCATTCAAGTGGGCCTTAATCAGTGGTATTTGTGAACCATTTGGGGCGCTCTGTGTAGGGACTCTTTTCTATCCCGTACTGACAAAGGGTGTCATTCAAATCACTTTGTGTGGTGTGAGTGGGATAATGGTATATATGTCTATCTTGGAATTAATACCAAGCTCGCTCAAGTACATCTCTGCTGAGGTTTGTCTTTGAATAACTATAAAAAACTATAATTGTATTATAATATATAAATAATATATTAAACAAGTAGTTAACCGCGTTGTACTTTGCATTTGGGATGGGGGTGATGGCGTCTGGGCTATATTTTATGGAGTTGTACAAGTTATAATTATTCAATGGTATAATACAAGATTGAATAGGTAATAGTTTTGTTGGTATAAATTGATAGTACTTTGTAGTATTAAATAATAATATAAATAATAATATAAATAATAATATAAATAATAATATAAATAATAATATTAATAATATTATAAATATAATAAGAAGAAAGGAATCACAAAAAACACACTGAAAAACTTTGAAGTGATGACATTCAATTTTTCAAATTTTTTTATTCGAATCAAAAATTATTTGAAAAAGAAGAAGAAATATATTTTATTCAATTGTATAGGGTTGGTGGTCTGTGTCATACTATCAACACTCTTTGGGTGCTGTTTCCTCTCCATCACAAATAAAACGGAACAGAAGTACCTCGATTATTTTGAAAGTTCAGTTGACATGAGAAACAATGCTCTTCTTACTTCAGTAGAAGTCACTGCCCCTCTTAATATCCAAACTTGTTTCCTTCAAGAAACACCAAAAACAAAAATCGTTCAAACGAAAGACTTCATCATTTCTAAGTTATTTCCAAAACCCACGCGTGCTATTTTTTTCTCACAAATGTTATTACCGGAATCGGTTCTAACATTCCAATACACTGCTTTTAAACAAGTCACACCACAAAACATTTCAATGTATTTGTTACAAGGAGAAAAGGAATTTCAAAGGTTCCAACTTGGGTTGATAGTCTCACCTATTTACTACATAGAGAACTCCCCAATGAATCACAGCACTTTTGAGTTAACCAACTTCGACTTTCGAGATCTCTACTACTTCGCCTTTGAGACGTTCAGCGAGAACACAACGGTGTCAATGTCACTGAACATCGGATTCTCACAGTTTTATGTTGAAGACAGTACTAAAGAAGAGTGCGCATATGGTAACACACGGCACGACTTTGTCGCTGGTGAGGTGATGGTGACTACTAACACTCAAGACATCTATTCTTTAGTTAGACTCGATTTCTCTGGGAAGTTTGTTTCTATCTAGTAAAAATATTGAAAATATTTTATAGTAAATTAATAGTAAATTAATAATAAATTAATAATAAATTAATAATAATTTAATTGTAATTTTAAAATAATTTTAATAGTAAATTTATAATAAATTTAATAGTACTTGGATTGATTTTTAGAAATGTCTACAAAGAAACGGTTGTCCCTCTAAGCTTTGTCTTATTTGTGTTTTTACTGGTGACTTTCTCGGTGATATCGAACAGAAAGAGGAGAGACGATGAAATACAATTCCTTAAACACAACCAGACACTCCAAAACTCGAAACGGATCGAGTTTAAAAACAACGAGGACCTGTTGTAACACGTCAATTGTAATAAGTTTTTTGAGACAAATTTTTATGGACATTTAGAGCTTTTTGACTAAGATATTTTTCGACTTTATTCAAGTTATTGGAGTTTGAAATTGTTGTGTGGTTTTTTTCTGGCGCTTTTGTCATGATTCACCACTACAAAATTAATAAACTATATTTTATAGTATTTTGTATCATGGAATATAATACAATATTAAGTTACTAATACTTATGGTCCAAAAGTTCCATACTAAAACCAGAAAAATAATTGAATTACAAAGAATAGTAAATAGAATTAGAACGAATCTATTTCAAAAGTATATAAGAAGGTGAAGACTTTATGAGCATGAAGCGTGGAAACATTCAAACGAAGGAACTTGGAATAGAAATAGCAATGCAAAGAAGCACCCCGACACCAAAAACGAGGCGCCCAAATTCCCCATACCCGCGTAGAAGTGCGTCATCGGAAAGTGGTGAGAAAGAGTTCAAAGACATTTATGAATCCGTTTGTCTGTATTCATACTCTTGAATGGTAGAGAATAGTATAATATAGTATCAAATAGTATTAAATAGTAAAAGTATAACAAAAAGGCATTAGAACTGCACAAAGGCTTTCCTGAAGGCCTTTTTACTTATTTGACACGAAACACGTTGGATGACAAAACTAAAGGAGAGAATTGCACTGCGATATTAGCGTATTACGACCAAGAGTATAAAGCGGGCCAATTTATAGTTTATTGTATTAAACGAGAACTATTTTTACGACTAGATACGAGTGAAAAGAATCCATACCCATTCATTCTATCTTCCCTTTTAAATTCGATGTTGGGCCCTATTGTTGAAGACATCATTAAACTCACGACGAAGTATACAAAAACACTGAAAGGGACTGATGTTTGTTGTTGGAGTTATTTGCAGGGATAGTAGAGTAAACAGTAACGAATAGCTCAGTTTGAAAGACAGAGACCCGAAATCCTCTGCATGCGAAAAGAAGTCGAAACAAATTAAAGAATACCTCCAAGCGTTTTTTGAGATCATTACTGACTTGAATAGATTTCCGGTGTGCGTCAGATACTATTACGCGACTTTAAGCAAAGAATTGAAAACGATGCAACCGATAAACTGGATGAAGGGTATGGTCCAAGCTGCTTTGTACGCCCCTTTTGATTTGATCTTCAAAACTTTGATGAAAGTGATGACACAAAATTATGAGCTGAACATTCTTTTGGTGTTTTCTGACGCTTTTAGAGCACTCAGTAACTCCGTGATGGGCGTGGAAATCAGAGACGAGTTTTGGAAACACTTTTTGAATGAATATAGCAGTGACCTCATCACCTTATTGAAAGACAAAATAGGGCAGTATGACCTCTTTCTATGTGAAGAAGAGGAAGTCAGTTTCAATCTATCAAACTACAACGGAGTGCGACTAAACACGCTCTTGGAGAAAGAGTGGAAAAACATGAAGGAATACATTCCAGAAAGCGCTTACAACTACTTCGTCATCAACACCGACAAAACTCCTGAAAATTATTTAATAGGAAAAATCGTTCAATTGATGACAGACATCCACTCCATCAACGTCAAATCACAAATCGAAAAACAGAGTTTCTTGCTCATCATGGCTGAGATGAAAGTAAAAATAAAAGATTTGAATGAAGAAAAACGGTACTTGCGACATCAAGTTAGAGACAGACTTGGCATCGACTTCGAAGATGACGAAACTGAAGAAGAAAAGACAGTCTCGTAGACTTTCAATTCTGAAGACTATACAAATTGAATTGTTGTTTTGTTTCATTTTGAATGATCAATTCAAGTTCTATCAAAATAAGACTCTTCAGTCGCATCTACCCCGTCATAGTATGACGGGGTATTTTAGACTTTACATATAGTAGTAAAATAAACTATTTATTAAACTATTTATTAAACTATTTGAGAATTCCAAGAAAAAGAGTCAAAAGAACTTGAAAAAGAAGTCTAAGGCATGTCGCAACAGTACCGCGATATCAGAGGCATATTGTATGAAGGGTTAGTGTTAAAGCCTATACGCCTCTGGGGGATTTGGACTGAGAGGTGGATGGTATTGACACGAGACAAATTGTATTACTTTGACTCGTCGAGACAACGAGTTGGTGGAGTCATTCTTCTCGAGTTTTCATCTGTCCGACTTCGTGATATTCCGGAACATCCGTTTGCGTTTGAGATGTATAGTCCGACGACTGATAAAACGTTTCTATTTGAGGCGCTCAGTTCGGACGAACGGATTCGGTGGGTGGACGAGATATCTTCGGTGGTCACAATTAGTGAGCCGACCGAGTACCAACACTTAACACATGTCACATTTGAAGAAGGTGGCTTTGTTGGGATACCTGAGGAGTGGGAAAACATGTTCATCTCGTGTGGGGTCTCGCGAGAGGAAATTAAATCAAACAAAGAAGACGCGTTGAAAGTCCTTGAATTTGCACAAGTGTTTCACGAAGACGAGTCTGAAGAGAATAAAGAGGTTCCTATGCCTGATAAAGAAGTTCCTGTGGCTTTACGTTTGTTACGTATTACTGTCTGATACTAGATAGTGTAGAATATAATACTATACCACTCTAGTAAAATGATATAATACAATAATAGTAAAATAATAACAAAATACTAGTAATACTGAACTGTAGAAGAACTTATCACTGGAGGAGACCCCACAGTGTTGTATACCAATTACGTTGAGATAGGAGAAGGGATGAGTGGAGTAGTTTATCATTGTTATGACTCGATGAACAAGAAGGAAGTTGCGATGAAAAAGATACCGATGAAAGAGAGTGTGAATGTAGAAGAGATCAAAATCATGGGGACGATCCACCACAAAAATATAGTGGAGTACATTGGGTGCTTTGAAAAAGACGAGTTTCTGTATATTGGAATGGAATACATGGACAGAAATAACTTGACGGGCATGTTTGACTTCTTTCCAGAGATCAAGTTGAGTGAGCGACATATAGCGTATGTAGTGAGGGAGACGAATAATGGTATTCGGTATTTGCATTCAATGCATCGGATCCACAGAGATATCAAATCTGACAATGTGTTACTCAATCATCGCGGAGAAGTCAAATTGGCGGACTTTGGGATTTCAGTGCAACTCACAAGAAGTAAAGCAAAGAGAAATACTGTTGTTGGAACACCTTATTGGATGGCTCCAGAAGTTTGTTAGATTACTCGATACATTGAGATCTATAGATACGTCAAAGGCAGTGATAACAATAAGGTCATTAAAGGAAAAGACTATGGAACGAATGTGGATGTCTGGTCTCTTGGAATTATGTGTCGTGAAATGATCGAGGGAGTCCCCCCTTATATAGATGACCCCCCACTCCGTGCACTTTTCAAAATCTCAACGAAGGGAATACCTCCAGTCACTTATGGTGACTACACAGAACCGTTTTTGGGCTTTGTGGAGAAGTGCTTGACCTTCGACCCAAACACAAGACCATCTGCTGAGGAATTGTCAAAGGACGTGTTTTTGAATGACCCCTGCACACGAGACGAATTCGCTAATTTCATTGAAATTGTTAGAAAACAGAGTGAGAGCCAGAGTTGATGAAACTCGATGTCATCTTTTACACACAACAGACTCAAATCAAATCATTTTTTCATTGTAATTTTTGGAGTCGTTTGTAAGGCACATGAAGAAGAATTGGGGATTGTAATGACTTACTATAATATATTATAATTATATTAATAATTATAATTATATACTTTTTACTAGATTAGTATAATATTGTTATAATATCAAATAACTCCAAAGAAATCAAATCAAGCACTTATTGACAACAGCAAGAAGACTCGGCTTTTCTAGGGCCGCCGCGACACGCTCTTTGTCGTTGAGTTGTTTGTTCACGTCTTCCTCCGTTTGGTGGGTCCCTTCTGTCAAGTAGATGTCGACTTTAATTCGATACGGAAGAACACGAATGAGTTTCGTTCGAATCGCAAGACCAATCAAAGTGGCCATAGTACAATTGTCGACTGTTGGTGTAAATTTAACAACTATGTGATTCCCAACATCGTCGACTGTAATCAAATCTGGGCTAATCACTTTCAATTGTTCTAGAGTCACTGACGGGTGTTCCGGGTCTTTGATTCGTCTGATGTGTTCTGTCTGTCAGTGCGTTTGTTGTAAGTTTGTATAAATTAGTAATTATAATAATTTATTATTAATTAATATTGATTATTAAGTTAATTATTTATAATAAAAGTATTAATAGCAAACCATATATCTCCAATGAGTCCATTGGCTCGCGAACAGACAAGTCTTCTACGCTCTCTTGAATTGTTCGGTGAATGTTTAATTCTTGGTATACATGTGGTGTTGGATTTGCGACTTCCATCTCGTTTTATAAGTTCATTTTAGTATAAAATATGATAAGAAAAAGAATTGTTTAGTATACTAAAATTTATAGTATATTAAACTAATAACATTTAATATATAATGACCAGAATAATTACAATATTTTTTGACTTCAATCACATCTTTTATAATGGACGTTTTTATAGTGGTATTATTTTGTAAAGATGTATATGTTTCCAAAGTATTTGATTACCGACAAAAGAACACCACAAGATCAATTCAATTGACTGAAAGAACCAATTTCAGAGGAGGAAGAAAAGGAAGAGGGCAACAAAAGCGACTAAAGAGCCACTGACTTCATTGAGTTCTTCTGAAAATTGTGAGCTGTAAATTGAGTCTTCCACTGCGACTGGATTCTTAATGAATTTGACATCATTGAAATAGAAGGTGTATTTCTGCGAGAATTGTTGGTAGATTTGAATTGACAAGTACTTGACTACACTTTGACACTGTGTTGGGAACTCTTTAGAATTCATTTTTAGACAAGTAGTCTGGTTGTTGTATATCTTAGTAATCAGTCCAGAGTCGACATTATCATCTCCTCGATAATTAGTGGGCAACATCCTTATTTTCATCATCACATAATCATACGGCGCACTCGTTTGCATGTCAAGACAGAACAAGTCCAAGTCAATGGTATTAGCATTTCCATTGAACTTAAGAGTGTCGTATTGTTGCAGATCAGCACCAAACCACTTCTTATTATCAGAGAGGGTGTACTCGTATATATTAAGCATAGCAGAGTCATTCAATTCCCAGTTATATTTCCCATCAGAGTAAACTATTTCTTGACTCTTCGAAACTGCATAGAGCAACGCTATAAAGAACATTAGATGTTCAACTTGCTTTCTATGTTCTTTGGAATTCTTTTTATATCACTCGATGACTAAATAACTTTGATTCAAACAGAAAGTTATTGTCCGCCATTCACTTTCTAAGACTCTAGTGATTCAAACCCAAAAATACATTCTACCAGAAATATGGTTCTTTTATTAATAGGATACTTGTTTGTATTTAAATTATAAAGTAACTATTTGTTTATTATACATTTTTTATCAGCACAAAAATTGTTGGATCAAATAAAATATTTGCAAAAAATTGCATTTTTACTCCGATAAAAAAACTGATGAAATAGTTTATGGAATTGTTATAGACTTTTTGTGATTGGAAGAGAATAGTTTATTATTAATTTAGAATAGTTCTATTATATTTCTTATATACTAATAATATCAATACTATATGTTATAGATTTCCTTACGATATAAAACAGAATTATTTAGACTGCTTGATTTCTTTGATGTTTCTCAAAAAGACTTTGCTCTTTCTCTGTATTAAGTCTCTTTCCATCGCTTTTTGTTTCTCGGAGTAGTCTGAAGCGGTTTCCACGAATTCGTTGCAGACCTTTTCGCTCTCAAATTTGATGATCTTTTGATCTTTTCCTCCGACGAGGATTTGGACTTCAGTGACTTCTTTTCCCTTTTCAAGTTCCGTGTCGCACAACTTGAAATGTTTGAAGTAATAGAAAGCTTCGTAGTTTGTCTGTTTTGTCAATCCGACGTATGAAAACAATTTGAGACCGGAGTTGACTAAACTTGCGCCAAAGTCTGCCGTCAAAAACAAGATGATGTCATTGAATAAGATGACCGTCACATTTGTCTCGACGACTTCTGGGAAGTCGACTTCTCTCTCTTTCAATTCCGCATTCATGTCACAGTAATCATCGCTTTGTTCCCCACTTTGCTCGTTACTGTCCGCCATCATCATCTTCCTCTTCGTAATGACCGTCTCGAAAAGTACTGCATTGTTCCGACTTAAAAAGACTCGATCAGGCCCACATATCGCAAAGCCCTCTGGAACGCCTTTAGTGATCTTTGCCAAGTTTAATATAGTCTCTGTGCTCTCTTGCACTCGAGACATCTCATTGACATATGTGGCTACTTTAATAACTTCGTCTCTTGCATTTCTGAGTGTGAAGTAGTCGTGGTGGTCTAATCGGTAGTGTTTCAATAGATCGACAAGCATTAACTTGTACCTTGGCAGTCTTTGCACTGGTGTTATAAGAAGTGACGTCAATGTATATTTCCTCAACGCCAGTGGTGCGTGACTCATTTGGTCTGCGATGAATTTGGCGAACGGGTGTGGAGCCTTTAAAGTGACGCAGACGCAGTCCGTGACTGCGTTATAGACTCTACAATAGTCCGAGTACATTTTGAGGAACGGCGTGAACTTAAGGAAGACGGACCCGACCATAGTGTTCTGGTTAAAGTCTTGGCAGTTCTCTATTAAGTTATCGAGAAGCATGTGATTAGTCTTCTGGATGTTCTGAAGTCCAAAGAAGATGAGTCTCATTTGGTCTTCTGTGATGATTTGATTTGTCGCGTTGGCGACTTTAAGTGGGCCCATAATTAAGTCGACAACAACGTCTAATTGTTGGACATACGTTTGCTCCGTTGTTATGATCTCACTCACAACATGCGAACAGTAAATGTAATCCTTCTGTAACTTTTGATTCAAATGACTTCGAATCGCTTTTTGTAACGTGCAGACCGCACTGGTCCGCTGACACTCGTCTCGGTACTTCAACAGAAATCGCCAGTCTTGTAAATCGGCTCCCAATTTCACATTATACTTCGAAGTGATCGTTAATAACTGTTTGCCCGTTAAATGGGTCCCTCGCACCCGTTTCCCCAAGTCTCGCATGTCAACTTTGATCAACTGCTTCTCAAGCATTTTCTCACTCCACATCGTCGCGTCCATCCAATAGGAATATTTCTTCGGTTTATATGGTGACAAGTTCATGTGGAACGGGATATACGATTCTACTAGACTCTTCCCCGGTTGATGACTAATCACTTGGTCTTCATCCATCTCCTTTTGTACTCATTTCAAGTTTCTAGCTTTTTTTCTCATTTTCGCTTTGATTGGTTTGTCGAAGTATCGTATTAGTATAACTACTAGTAATGTATAGTTTGAATTCAATACAAATGTTTTCTAACTTATATTATAAATTACTAGTATTGTACTATATTATTGAGTATTGATTCAAGCTTGTGCTCTATAGAATAATAAATACTATATATACTAGTATATTTCATTAGAATATTGTTTTCTTTCGTTGGAGCAAAATAGTAAAATGTATAATAAAATAAACTATACAAACAACTAAAATGACTTAAATTCGTTGAACTTCTTTCTTTGAGTAAAGAATGAGTAAAGAACAAAAACAACGACTGGCATGAGCACCACAAGGGCGATGCCAATAGTGAAGAACACGACAATACGAGCGACTCTATTTGTGGTATTAATATTGTTATTGTCGACGACGACCAGTGGGACGGTTTTGACTGTTTTTGAGTCTTGACTTTTGAACGGAGTTGGGACGGAGAAGTTCAAACCAAAAGTGCT